TTTACTCTGCTTAACCAGAGACCATGAATCCAAAGCAAAGAAAGGGGAGGAACAGGAAGAGGAGCAGGAGTGGGAAAATAAAAGCAAGGTGTAGCTGTCACAGTGATAATCTTAATACTTCTAGCTTCATTTTGAGTAGTTTGTGGTACCTAATGGCTAGCCCGGAAAGCCCTTCCCTTCTCTAACCTGCATAAGTAATGCCACTAGGATCCAGCTATGCAAGTACTTACTTCACTTTACCTGGAATGCTGTCTGCACAAACTATAAACTGAACATGAGTGCCATGATTACTTCTCATCATTGGAATCTGACATCTAATGAATTATTTAGGCTAATGAATGGTGATCTAGACATTACTTTTCCTGTTGCTCCCCTGCCATCTCAATGTTCTCAACACTAGGAGCTAGTGGTTTGATTGGATTTTGTTGTCACCAAACATTTACCATTAACAATGGTGGGCTATTTGTGGAGTTTTGCTGAAGAAGAAAGGGGATCTCTCCCCCTAGCTCTTATTTCGTAAGCACAATTTTCCTTTGCATGAGGTAAATTGTGGGTTGGTTTCCCCTCTCTCAATCCAATCTTCCCCACAAAATAGATTACAAAAATTCCTTTAACTTTCTGACAGGTAGAAACTGTAGTTTCTAGTATCATATGTTTTACTAAATAGTGTCATATGTTTTCCTCTTTTTGAAGAATATTTGAAAAGGAATAGGAGGTAAATGTGCAGAGTTCTGAACACCACCTGAATCAATTGTTCATTGTTCCTTTCAAAAAAAATCAAATATACAAAGAAATATAGCAACAATTTTTATTTCAGTTATTTGATTATTAGTATAAATAACATAGACTATTATAGAAGTTTTTACTCTGTGAAGGAATATGTATGTCTATTAACATCTAAAGTGATCTCATAAATACCATGTTCAATGAATGATAGAATATAGGAAATAATCGTTCCATATTAAAAATTACCTCAAAAATTATAAAAATACTTTAGTTTTAGAGTGAGTCTTTAAAAATGTGTTCTTCTTTGGAACAGAATCATGTCTTTCTTTGTTCATTGAAAACAACAAAAATTGGTAATTTATTGTCTCGTCAATATGAAAATCTTATTTACAGTAACAGATTATAGGAGATTGGGATTTCTAAATATACAAATTTTACTTTTCCCAGATAATATGCATATTAAGTATATTTGAACACAATTATAAAGAAAACTGAAATTATGTTAATATTTAACATTTTTGAATATACAGTATTTGCAAAATAATTTTAGTTGATATAAAAGAAGTAAATTGTAACTAGATTTAATAAAGTATATTATTTTAATAGTCTATTTTTTTGTAAAAATGGAAAATAAATCAAGCTGTAATTCAAAGTAGTTTTGCATAAGAAGTTTATTTCTAAAGGTAAAACGACCTATGTCATTTCTCTGAAATATACAATGAACATTAAAGAAAATATATAAAAACATTTATAAACAATTATACAGAAAATAAACTATATAATTTGAAAGTGAAATCACATACCTGGACTACAGGCATCCCAGAGTAATTCACTCATGGTATAATTATTTTCAAGGAAAAAAACACTGAATTTTCCTTTTAGATAGTCCCAGTCAGTATAGAAACTTCATATTTTGAGACTTTCATTAATGCATTACCACAATTTTGCTTTCAGGAATGAATGTATTATTTGAGTACATGAATTGTTTTCAAAAAACATGAAATCCTAGATTAAAAACAAAAGTATAGAATGAGTTTTCAGTAGCAAAACAGAGATAATTCTCTGATGAAGAAATGCTAAGTGTTCTGATGAAAACAGTAATATATTCATTAAACAAGAAAATTTAACTAATCAGTAAATCTAGGAAAAATTTATAGCTATATAGGCTCTACCTTTAGCTTTCCATTTTATTAGCAATTAAATCTTATAATTCTATTCATTTGTTGATATCTGCATGGATTTAATTAATCTTCTGGTAATTTCTCTATATTTCGCTTTTTCTAGTCTCCTAGGACTTTTTGTCTTTCAATATTTCTTACCCAACATTTTAAATCCTTCTGTAGTAAAATAACTTTTCCTATGACTACAATTCGATGTAAAATTAATTTTTTTCATAAGAATAGCAGCCATTTTAAGAGGTAGAATGACCTTAAAATTTTTTTGTGTTAGTTTCATTTGTGTTCCAAATTTGTCTACATTTTCCAGCTTGTTTCATTTCATCAGTATCTATACAGACTCCCACTCCTATGACTTCAGACAAATTCTATGGAATTTATATCTCTCACATCTATCATTTTCATTTATCCCCTCAACAGAAATAATTTTATCCTTATTGCAAATCACTAGCAATTGCAATTTTACCTCTCAAATTCATTTCTCACATAGATGCCAGGATTTATCATTCTAAAATTTTGATTTGTAACTATTTTATTTATACCGAGTTTAAAATCAACATTTAACAAAACAATTTTCAATAAATTACAATTCTCTAAAAAAGGTGCCTTATCTTTAAAGGTCCTTTAAAGGAAGCTCTCAGTCATTTCCTAATAAGTCCACCACCAATCCCAGTCCCATTTTCCAACTATCTAATTACCCCAGACTATTTTCCCTTTCCTGAATACACCATATCTTTCACATAACTCTACCTTTAGTTGAACCGTTCCCACAAGATTAAGGTTAAATTTTACTTTTTATGTGAAATTAACACTTATTGAAAACAATTTTTACAAAGAACTTTGTTATATTATAAACTTATTACAGAAAATAGTAAGCATATTTCAAATTAGATAGAATAGCATAATAGGTCCAAACAACCCACTCCTCAATCAGATTCAATAATTATTAACATTACTAATCTTATTTTAACAAATACTCCAGCCCCTCCTACCCCCTGCAATCACTTCCATTATTTAAAGCAAAACCCTGATATCACTCCATTTGGTACTGAAATACTACAGTGAGTAACCCTAAAAGATATGGAAGGTGTTTTGCTTTTACATAACCATGATATCATCATCACAGCTTAAAACCACCTTAATTTTTTAGTGGGGGTTAGGTTGTGATAAAAGTGAAAGGGATTAAGTAGTACAAATTGTTAATTATAAAAATAATCATGGGAATGTAAAGTACAGCATAGACAATATAGTCAATAATATTATAATAACTATGTATAGTATCAGATGGACACTGGTATTTATTGTAGCGAACACTTCAAAAAGTTTATGTAAATGTCTAATCAGTATGTTGTACACTTGAAACCAATATAAAATTATATGTCAAATGTAATTGAAATATAAAATTTTAAAAGATGTGAAAGATAAATCAATTTAATAAAAGTTAAAAATCAAAAACAAAAAAATCCCACCATTATAAATCATTAATATCATCAAATGGCCAATGTTCAAATTTCCCTGAATGCCTTATAAAAATATTTTAAATTAATCATTCGAATCAATATTTAAACATGGTCAACAAACTGTATTAGGTTCATGTCTCTCCCTTTTTCATTTCATTTTTATTTTTTTATTTTTCTGACACTTTTTTGTTGAAGTAACTAGATATTTTTTCTGTACATTCTGTCACTTTTTAATTTTTTCTATTTGCAACTCCAAATCTATGTTTAAGATATTCGTGTTAATGATTCAAAACCTTACTTGCACATTGGAATCACCTGGGAAAGATCTAAACTGCTTGAAAGCTTGGTCCCATTTCCAGGGGTTTTAATGTCTGTGTACTCTTGACACAGGGAATTTGAAAAACTACGCAAGTGTTTCTATAGTACATCAAAGCTAAGAAACACTGCTCTATCCAGGGTGTCTTAGATTTTGACTACATGTTGAGTCACCTGGGGAGTCATACAACTTTTACTCTTAGCTTATTATTTAGTTGAACTGGGGTATGATTTGGTACTTGGGGTTTCTGAAAGCTCCCTAAGTGATTTAATAGAAGATAAGTTCAGAATCACTGCTCTATCCAATGTGTTTCCTCTCAAGTGGCTGTTCCATTCGAAGGCTTATTTGGATGTGTACACTTATTGCAGTTTACATTCCTGTATCAGAGGATATAATTTATAATGAATCAAGAGGAAATCTGTGTTTCACTGAGCCTTATTCCATGTAAGGCCATATTTGAAGTCTTCTAAGTACCTATTTCAATTTTTAAATAAAATCCTCAAAGACCAGGCCCTCTATTTGACACACAAAGTCCTTCTATTGCCATGTGAAAATGAGCAGAAGTTCCAGAGAAAATAGTCACTTGTGAATCAGGAGTATCAGAAGAAAATAGAATTTCAGAACTAAGATTAAATGGGACCCCTTTAAATAAAAGCTATACACTTAAAAAGGTCATTTAAAAATGTACAATTTACAAGTCATTTCAGAATGATACTAAAGAAACCATCTATACCCAAGATGAACAAGAATTGACTTACGATGAGGAAACACGCGGCAAGCATCACAGCTTTCATTTTCACATCAAGGTCTATAGGGAACTGTATCCCAAAGTTATCGGCATCTGTAAATGCCTCTCTCGCAAAACCAGCCCACTGCTTGGAAATCTTACCAACCACATTTTCTTCATCAATAGATTTAATCTAAATTGGAAAAAAAAATGACAGTCATAAAGAATTCTAGAAAACTAATAAGAAAACTATTTCCACAGTTGGAATAAAATGAAACAAATACACTATTAAAATTATAAGTAGCACATAGCTATGAACATTATATCACTCATTACATTTGTATAAATTACTGTATCTATTTATAGATATATGCCAAAAAATTGTTTCTTTGCTGTGGAGACCTTATATGAAAGTAGTTTTACTGAAATAGTTAACGTTTCTATTTTACATTAAGATAGACAATAAGAAATGAATTCAATTGTTTTAAAACAAAATTTTGGTATGAAAAGATACAAATATGAAATATTTCTTTGATGAAGTTTCTAGAAACCATCAGGAGAGTAGTAAACTAAACCCCCAAGTGACATCTCTTTAAGAGAAGCACAAAGAATTTACATAGGCTGAGTGTTTAAATGCAATGGGAGGGCCATCACCACCAGTGTCAGTAGGAAAACATGAAGTATTAAGAGCCTGGGAAAGAAGACTGGCAGTTTTGAGTGAAGGAAAGTATCTAGTGAGTATCTTGATGAGATGCCACAGGTCAAAGTTTGGGCTAAGACTGGACAACAGGAGGGTGGGGGAACAACAAAAGAGGAAGAGAGGTGTTTGAAAAAAAGAGCTCCAAACTAAAATTTTCCTGATTTTAGAATTCTGCATAAGGAAAGTCATAAAAATTGAACAGATCATAACAGGACAAATGTACCTCACCAGGTGGGTATGTAGGCGTGAATGTAGCCACATCCCCATGGTTTGTGCATATACAGCTGCATCAGCCCAGGAAGAGATGTGTCCTTTTCAAATGTACACGAGGTAGCACATGTGCTAGCAATACTCTTTAAAGCCTTAGCTCAGGTTGGAAGCAGCTAAATAAATGTGGGGAAACTAAAATCAGTTTACCCATTTTATTTGGGTGTGCGTGGTTCTTAAATTCAAAATAAACTCTTAAGATGCAAACTGTGATAGTATGAATGACTGCTCATCAATATTCATTTACTGACTCTCCCTGCTGTGGGCCCAGTATATGTCCCTGAGCATGGATAATTAGGCTTGGCCATATGACTTGTTTGACCAATGGAATGTTGATGTGAGGTGAACACAGACCTAAAACATGGCTGATTGTTTGGCATGCTCTTGATGTCCAGCAATCAGCTACGAGAATAGTATGATCCAGTTAGTTGCTCTTGCTATAGCTCCAAAATGAGCATACCGAGAGCAGACCTGTGGCCAACTTATAGCCTAAATCAGAGCCATCTCGCTGAGCCTAGGTATACCCACCGAGACAGAGTTGACCAATGGACCTATAGCATGAGAATAAATACCTGTTGTTGTAACCTACTGAGCTATAGGGATATATATATATATGTTATATAACATTATCGTGGGAAACTAGAAGAATACAAATTCTCTCTTCTGATACTTTAATGTTTTTTCTGCTAACAGCTGTCATCTAAGCATTTGTGGCTAGTAATAAAACCTTACATTTTATTTTTTAATTTAGTTATTTTTAATTTTTTTGAAATATACAAAATTTACAAAAGTTACAAAAGTTAACTTATCAGCTCCCATAATCCTATCACTAGACTTAAAAGATAATAGCATTTCCCTTTTTTGATTCTTACAGCAAGAAATCTAAACATTCAACAAAATTAATGTGAGAAATAGAATATATAACTTTTTATAGGAAAGTTCAGAAATGTGAACATAATCTTCAGCTGAAAAGTCAACAGGACTAGATAATTTTTATCTATTGTCTAGATAATATTTTAAAAAATAGAAAATTTATGCAATGAAATGATTTCAACTTTTGGAAGAAATAAACTGTTATATTACTAATAAATTTAATTTTTACTTATTTCTAAAAATGATAAAGGTATTCAAATGGATCTATAGACTCATCTCATTACAAATATATGCAAAAAAAATCCAAATAGAAGATTAGCATACAGAAATTAAATAAGTATCAAAAGAATATACTATAAGAAATTGTAAAATGCTAGAGAATTACATAATTAAAAACATAGGAGTGTATCCATAGATATTAAAAAGGTATTGTATTTATTTGCTAATCAGCATTTATATAACATCTAATATATGCATGCATGGCATATAAATTCTTTTCAAGTATTAGACATTTTTTTCCTCATATCTTTATAAGATACATACTACAATTACACAGAGTTTTCACAAGAAAAAACTGAAGCAAAGAGAGGTTAAGTAATCAGTCTCATATCACACAGATAAGAAGTTGTTGGGATGGATTTCAAATCCACGTTCTGCGTTCCAGAGTCTGTACTCGTGACCATTATTATACTCAGACTTAGAAAGTTAGGGATCAATTCTTAATAAAAATCTAGGCTAGAGTTCAGCAAACAATGGCTAATGGGCTACATTTAGTCTGTTTTTATAAACAGTTTTATTAGGACACAGTTACACCCAGTATTTATGTATTGTTTTGACTTCTTTATCTACAATGGCTGAGTTGAGTAGTTGCAACATAAGTCTAAAATGTTTTCTGTCTTGTCTTTCACACACACAAATAAAGTTAATTTTGCTAATACCAGCTCTAGGAAAAATAGGAATAGAAAATACTATGAAAAATAGCAGGAGAGGAAACATAAGAACAATAAAAATTCTCAAAGGGGAGGAAAAGGAGCAGGGATTAGAAAACATTTTCAGACAAATAGTTGACGAGAATTTCCCAAATCTAAGGAATGAGCTGGAGCTTGGAATTCAAGAAGTCAACAGAACACACAATTATCTCAACCCAAAAAGGCCTTCACCAAAATACACTGGATGAAAATTATCAAAAATCAATGACAAAAACAGAATTGTCAGGGCAGCCAGGGAGAAGAAAAAGGTAACATATAAAAGAAGACCCATTAGATTATTGTTGGACTTCTCAGCAGAAATCTTATAAGCCAGAAAGGAGTGGAATCAAATATTCAATTTATTAAGTGAAAGAAACTACCAGCCTAGAATAATGTATCCAGCTAAGCTGTCCTTCAGATATGAAGGAGAAATAAAGAACTTTCCAGACATAAAAATTAAAGGAATTCTCTACTATGAGGCCGGCACTAGAGGAAATACTGAAAGGGGTCAGCTCACCTAAAACAAAATGACAAAAACGATACATAATTAAGGCGACTAACAGGTGGATAGAAGCAGAGGAGTGCAACCCTTACTAAGAATGGGGCATTATAAGCTTAAAAATAAGAAGAGATTTGCGATAGCAAGATAGCAATGAAGGTTCAGCACACTTAGGGATAAATTGAGACAGCAATGACTGAAAAGGGGAGGATTCAAAGATCCAGATTTGCAAAGGGGAATGGAAATAAGGCACACGAAGAAGGAAATGGGTGACTGCAGATACATAAATATCCTTTATATATTCGTAATGTTAATCACACACCAAAAATTCAAAACTGAAGTATATAACATAAAACTAGAAGGACCAGAGGGAAAGTACACAAAACCCAACCAAAATAAATAAATAACAGAGAGACAAGATAAGGAAGCAATGGAAACACTGAATACCAGAAAGAGAAAGATAAAAAGTAGGAGTAGAGGTACTAATATTGATGAAATGGACTTCAAAATAAAAAAAGTAAATAAAGATACTGAGGGACACTTCATAATGATAAAGGGATCATGCACCAAGAAGATATAACACTTATTAATATCTGTGCTTCCAATTAGGAAGCCTCAAAATATATAAAGCAATTAATTACTAACAGAAATAAAGGGAGAAACAGACCAAAACACTATCTTAGTAGTGGACTTAAATACCCCACTGTTGGGTATGGACAGATCATCCAAACAGAAAATCAATAAGGAAATAAAATCCTTAAATGACACATTAAACCAATTGGGCGTAATTGTCATGTACAGAGCCTTCCATCCTAAAAGGGCTGCTTATACATTCTTCTCTAGTGCACATGGAACATTCTCAAGGATTGATCAGATACTGAGACACAGAGATAGCTTCAACAAATATAAGAGGGTTGAAATCACATCAACCATATTTTGATCATAATACTTTGAAACTAGAGATCAACTGTAAAAAAAGGTGGGAAGAATCACAAATACATAGAGATTAAGCAATATACTACTGAAGAATAACTGGATCAGAGAAGAAATAAAAGAGATCAAGATATATATTGAAACAAATGATAATGATAGTACAACATATCAAACTTTTGGGACACGGCAAAAGTGGTCATAAGAGGAAAGTTCATATCATTACAGGCCTATCGTCAAAGCAAGAATGAGCCCAAATAAACAATCTAATGCTTCATCTTAAAAAACTAGAAATGGAAGAACAAATGAAGCCTAAAATCAGCAGCAGGAAAGAAATAATCAAAAATAGAGCAGAAATAAACGAAATTGAAAAGAAAAAGCAATAGAAAAAATAAACGCAACAAAGACCTAGTTCTTTGAGAAGGTTAATAAAATTGACAAACCTGTGGCTAGACTCACAAAAGAAAAAAGAGAAACGACACAAATAAGCAAAACCAGGGATGAAAGAGGGGAAATTATGACAGACACTGCAGAAATACAAAGGATCATACAAGAAGACTGAAAAAATATGTAACATCAAATTTAATAACCTAGAAGAAATGGACAAGTACTTACAAAAATGCAACCTTTCTAGACAGCATCAAGAAGAACAGGAAAATCTAAATAGACCGATCAGCAGTATGGAAATTAAAACAAGCATCAAAAATCTACCAAAAAGTAAAAGTCCAGGGTCAGATGGCTTCACCAGTTAATTTTACCAAACATTCAATTAGATCTAAAACTTATTCTCCTCAAACTCTTCCAAAAAAATCAAAGAGAAGGTAATACTTCCCAACTCATTTTATAAAGCTAATATTACCCTGATAATATCACCCTAATACTTCTCAACTCATTTTATAGGCTAATATTACCCTGATACCAAAATCTTGTAAAGATAACATGAAAAAAGAAAACTA